GGTGGGTGTGTGTCAGTTTTTGCATTTTATGGTTAGAAATTGTGATTGGATGATAATTCCACTGGCCTCTATGGGTCTATGCGATCAAGGTGAAGATTATTTAAAAAGTTTAAACTCCACCTTTATTGTTCTCCAGTCATGCTACTCCTCTCTCGTATACGGGTTTATATCAATTATATGTGTAAATGTTACGGACCTACGGGGAGTAGGTTGAACAGGTTCACAGGTACCCCCTGACTCACCCTTCAATGCTTTCCCTGCTCAGTTTTTGCCCATTAACATTTCCCCCTCTCCTCCCTTCGTATGGCACTACTTCACAGCAGTGTAATGTGTCTGGGCTGTCTGCTGACACATTGTTGGAAACAAACCTAAAAAGCAGTACTATGGTCATACAGGGCAAAGGCAGGGCTGGAGAGAGCATGGACAAATGTGCCTCTGACTATTTCTCAGCCTGGATGGAAGAATGGATTTAGAGATGAAAGAAAGGGACCCCCCCCCTTATTAAAACACTATCAATTAAGGTGATGCTCTGCTGCCGCTGCTGCTGCTGCTGCTGCTGCTGTCAGCATGGCAGTGAATGACGCAGGGAGACGAGAGAGAATGCTTTGATAATACACATTGTGTGTGTTTCCACTTGTTCACCTTGGTGTACATGGTGTGTGTACCTAGGTGTACTGTACATGGTTGTCCATCTCCATGTGTATGTATGTAAAGGTTTGCCTATCCTGACCTGTGTCTTTGTACATGTGCTTGTTCTCCTTTTATTCGTATCAAAGATACTCCATTTGATGAAAGACTCCATTTAGCAGGCCACTTTGGTTGCTCCAATGTGCAGTTTAATAGATCCTAGCCATGAAAATGAAGCCGATGTCCACGGTTCAGTTAGAAATCTCTAGCAGCCCTCTCTGCACTGCAACACTAGAAGATATTAGCAGGTAAACTGCCAGATCATATCAACAATGTCTCTCCTTAGAGAAATGAGTCATCTCAGCGTAATATTTCCACTGAAATGATTTACACCAAATAAGCCCTCTTTCATTGGAACTCCCCTGTTGTGTGATTGCACTTTAATGTTGTTACCAAGCCTAAAAGGATGTGAGGATGCTTGTGTGTCATATCCATCGAACCCTAGCGTTCTCGCTCTCACACCCTGGGTCTGTATCTACTTCCCTCCATGTCTATTTCTGTGTGTCTTTTCATTTATCATCACTTTCCTCACTCCCTTCATATGCCTTTCCATCTATCCAGCTCTACCCCGAGTGAACCCTAAGCACACTGTTGTTTGACCTGAAACGACAGAATAATATAATGGGAACTTTGTTTTTTATTAAAACAGCTGTCAGGTGCTTTATCTATAGAAAGTAACAAAAAGATAAATGCAAATGATATGATAGAGTTGGCAAGCTGTTGTTTGCTTGTATATGTTCACCATTATTTTACTTTATATAAAAACTTCTGGGTGTATTGTTTAACAGATGCTTACCCTTTGTTGTAGTATATAGAATCTTCTGCTTGTTACAGTGTTTAACGAATCACTTTCGTCCTTATTCTACACTACTGTTGACTTGTTAAGGTCAACCAATTAAAAAGTAGTAACGTTTGTACATAGGTTTGGGTACTGAAGCGGGTGTGTCGCCATTTTCTTTTACTTTCCCGAACTTACGACCAGACAGAAGTGAGACATGTGCGTTTGCAAAGTGCTACTTCTCAGGGCATTATTAGTCATCTGGGGTTGAGTTTCCATGGGCTGCTGCTTCAGCTCTTGGTGACCAGATCATCCCTCCTAATGTCAACCACGGCTAGAAAGGATTTCTGTCCACTGGTTTACGGGACCAAAAGACCAAGTTCACAACAGTGCTTTAATGGAAAGGACAGAGAATGCTGTCCTTTTTAGTTTACCAAATCAACGAAACCCCTTCCATTTGAACTAGAATCTATACACTTCCACAGCTCTTGAGCTGAGTCAGCTGAGCCGTATCTGGCCGTGCAACACTCACAGCGTCACAGACTGTATGCAGAAGTATTATTTTACTTAATTCGTCAACACATTAAGTTGACGAAACACTAGAGACAAATGTAATGAAAGTCAGATCGTGTCTTAGACGGGCAGTGATATCATAAAGCTGTTAATGTACGCATTCAAACACTTTTTCTGTTACCAGCTGTATTCACCTTGCAGGTGCAGCTATGTGGCTTTGATCCTGGATCAAGTGTTTAAGTCATGGATGTTTAAAGTTTAACTTCTTCATATGTCTAATAATAATATAGTTAACTTTTCATTCAGGAAGTATGACGCTGCGCTGTCAGTACGCTTCTCCATGTTTGTGATTGGTCGAATGCTCCAGATACCACCCCTTTCATGTGAACGCGCACCTACTGTAACTTGATAGGACACGGCTGGCTTGAGCGATCCACTTGATAACCCGTGTCGTAGGACCGCTTAGCGAGAGCGCGTATGTTTTGGATTAGGCCAACCGGCTAACTCAAACATATCCAGGTTATGTTGAACCGGCTTCGTCGTACAGGCCTCTGGTGTGGTTGTATTTGTATCAATAAACTCTGTTAGTATTTATGTCAATATATGGTAACACTTTATATTAAGGTACACAAATTCACCATCAACTAGTTGTTTATTAACATGCATATTAGCAGTATATTGGCTCTTTATTAGTCATTTTAAAACACTTATTAGTAGTACCACAAGAATAGCAATTCTCCCATAATAACACTTAACAAATATGATCTCTTCTTATGTAACAAGACATGAAACTATAAGTGTTAATTGTGTCTAAATAACTCAAAATGAGGTATTTATATCTAAGAACGTGAAGTCTTGTTCATAACCAATAAGCTAGTAGTTTGACTCTAATTGACCTGAACAGGTTCCCTATTCTAAAGTTGCCTCCTCTTCACACTTTGTAAATACATTATAGAACACAACTACTGAAATTAACCTCAACAGTACATGAACAAAGTAGGCACACGTTGAAATATCTGTTTTATTAATGAACCACTAAAGAGAGGTTCAGACACATACCAAAACATGTCAAGTTTCTCCAAGGCTGAGAACACATATGCAGCCTGTACTTTGTAATAAAACAGATTGTATGTATTTGTGATCATACTGTGTGACCTGCTTGTATGTACTTACACAATAGGTGTACTGTTCTCTCTATGTGTTGTACTGTCTCAGTGTGAACATAGATTAAACAGCCAGCCAAACTCTTTTGAGAGCCGGGGAATGAGCAGCCATGCTCCTTTATTGACTTATTTGCAGTCCACTGACATTCAAACGGAGTGAAACTGTAAAAAAAATAAGTTACAAGGCACTTAATGATCTCATACATGCAAGTGTAACATACACAGATTAACACATGGGACCGCTAAGTGTAAACAAGGTAATTAAAGCTAATGCTAGATTTGCAATAGAGTGGCGAAGTCATGCCCATCTCCTTCCGCCCCATGGGACCTTATTTCTGAAAAATTATGTATTGAAGTCAATGGAGAGAGAAAACGTATCTTTCGATCCCGTTTGAATTGTGCCACGAATTACACATATGATGTTTGTCAATCTTAAAATATAATTTCCATGTCAAAAAAAGTCACAGTTTGTCGTAAAACTGTTGAAATATAAGACTATGAAAAATATGCAACTAGAAAGACTACAAATCCCAGAGTCGCGTACATTACCGTTACACATTATACTCGTGTTACTCACCGAAACCTTGTAAAGCCGGTCCCGCATGCTGGCTCTTACGGAACCGACAAGCTCCCCTTGTGTGTATGTACAGCTCTCAACATGCCCAGAATTGTAGTGATTTTCACCTCTTTTAATACTTTTAACTTCTTTCTGGAAGAAAGAGGTGAAATGTGCTAACGTGACGGACATCTTGGTGTTGGTGACGTATACAAGACCAGAGTTGTAGTTCATTGAGCGCTTCACACAAATACATGTGTTACTTCGCAGTTTTACGACACATTTTTATTTTTTTGACTTGCAAAATTATCTTTTAAATTGACAAACATCATATGTGTAATTCGTGGCACAATTCAAACGGGATCGAAAGATAATCTTTCTCTCTCCATTGACTTCAATATACTTTTTCCGAAATAAGGTCCCATGGAGGTCCCCCGGAAGGGGAGGGACTTCGCCACAGCATATATGGCTAACGCTAGCATGTATGCTAACGCTACCATGTATGCTAATGCTAGCGCGAACGCTAGCGCATTTTCTCATTGTGTTTAAACATCTCCAAATGACATCACATAAACACAATACATGTTACTAATCCTTACAGTGTAAGTATAAAGCTTACACTTACAGTCATTGCTTTCTGACGGACTTGACCCTTTTACTCTTCAGGTTGCATAGGGAAAATTAGTAGCAGTCTACTGCCATGCTATTCAGTTAACTTTCTCCTACTTCCTATACCCGGTTTCCTGTCTAACCTTCAGTACAAATTTCACAAAAATATAAATGTGCAAATATGAAACATACAGGTCAATATCACCTTGCTAGCTGAACTGTAAATACCCCAAAACATATTCTTAGATATATACTTAATTTTGAGTTATTTAGACACATTAACGCTAGTATCATGTCACATAAGAATAGATCATACTTGCAACAAATAAGCACTAATTAGAGGGTTATTGAGGAAAAACTCTCAACTAATGGCTTATTACTTGGTCATGTAGAATAAGGCATTAATAAGTGTTTTATAATGACTAATAAAGAGCCAATATACTGCTAATATGCATGTTAATTTGTGTACCTTAATATAAAGTGTTACCCAATATATTAATATTTCCCTTCAAAACTATTATTCATTTAAGACCTTATTCAGATCATTTAACCCCCCTTACTTCCTTCTTTTTTGTATCAATCAATTTGTAACCGCTACTCGATACACAAACCACTGAGGGTATCAATGACAGGACATTTTACCTACTTATACTCCTGTTCATCTTTTTGATTTGTACTCCTTCTGTCTTCCCAGATGCAGTTCAGGCAGCATCTATGCAGCTGCAGCTGAAAGACCTGCTGCTGAGGACCGGCCTGAAGGAGCGGGGCCGGGTCCTGCTGGGGCCCTTCTCCTGCAGCAGCTCTCTGGAGGCCCACTGGTGTCGGCACAGCGGCAGCCCTGGCCTGGAGCCTGGCCCCCCTAAACTGCTGCTGGACCTAAAGGGAGGCCTACTGCAGGTTTGTATACCCATGACATCAATTAGGCATCCTTAGTCACAGGATGTGGCACCCAGAACTGCTACAGTGTCCAGAGGTCAGGGTCGATCAGCACCTTTACACACTACACATCTTTCTCTAGGACACGACTGTGAACCCCTGGGTGTGAGTGAGCCTCAACAGCTGCCAATCACGAGGTGATCACTCTTAAACCTCAGTTTTAGTCCCCAAATGAGGATTTTAGTTACTCCAAATGAATAATTACAGTATTCATAAACTGACCCCACAAACACAGCCCGAACCCCCTTCTTTTCATCCTGTTCCCTGCTCCCCTCCTGTTTGCAGCTGCAGTGCTGACATCAGAGATTGCCTGCTGTAGTTCCACCAAAGATTTGACTCACATATCTGCTTAAGTGGTGGAATATTAAAGGCTATTTGTAGGGAGGGTTATACCTTATGTGTGTCTTTTTTTCCTTTGACGAGTTACATAACGTCCACACTGAAAAGTCCCTTTTCAATGTGACTGAGCGCATTATTACTAATGTATTATTCCACATCACTTCTTCAGGGGAAACCCTGTACTGCTCCCCTCATTGATTAACTTAATGCTTTTATTGCGTGCCCATTAACAGGAACATAACTCGTAACTCAACACTTAATACGTAATCATACATTACCCATTGTAAATATTGCCGTTTGTGGTGTCTTAATCAAGTGCTGTATAAAAACCACCAGAATTCCTTCCGATTCCTTCTTCTCGTGCTATCCTTCCAAAAATCTGGGGAAAAAATCCCCAAACGTTCCTGTTTTTAGAGTTTAGTCATAACCCACCCTTCCAAGCCAGTGAGTAGGCAGGCAGCTCCATGTGTGAAGAGCTTGACTCAGAGATTCCTGGTTCTGATTCCAAACCCCAGGCAGACTGGCTTTGATTGATCACAGGAAGGGGAATGCCGCGGGTAGCGAGGAGGATGTGAGGCTGTGTTGGGCAATGTTAGAAAGGCGTAATGATGAAGGTAACCCTGACTGCTGCTCTTGTAGAATGTTATATTATTTTCAACGTAGGTATTAAAGCATATTAATGCATGTCACTCTTTTTGTCTCAATAACTTCACCCTTCATGTTGACTTCCCTCTGTCTCCTCTCTGTCCCCGTCTGACAGGTCTTCTGGGGTCAGGAACACCTGAGCTGCCTGAAGCTAGTAGAGGAGCACCTGCAGGCCTACCTGAACCTCCAGAGAGTTACAGAATCAGCTGATAGCTGCTCCAAGGGCAAGGCCTGCCACATCCAGCCACCTCCCTTACCCAGTGCTCCCTCTCCGAGGACAGAGCACAGCTCAGATGACCTGCGAACAGGACATTTTCAGTACATGCAGAACTCAGGTGAATGTTCATACAGTGTGTGCTGATCTCTTGCAGCAGGGCTGACAGTGTAGTTTGACTTAAATCTATGATATGATACGATAATACTTGTCAGATTGAGTCTACATTTTTCTTGCATCACAGAAGCTCCAGATCTAGGTAAAGCATTGGCCACTAAGCATCCACATCATATTTCAAGTGACAGGATTGCTTTTTTAAACTTTCATTGCTCAGGACCGCTCCTCAATGCATGTCCATCAGTAGCCCCGACCCCATAAATAAAAAGTTTGGTTTGCTTTATTGACAAAAAACGTATTATCCAAGACTCAATATAATAGTATTAGCCAAACATATTATATTTTGCTCTTTCTTGATAAGATAAGAATCCTGAATCCAGGATGAACTGTGACCGTGTGGTCAATCCTTCATATAACTAAGTTGGTTCAAACCAAAAAAGCAATCCAAAGTGAGATGTCACTTAAGATACACATCGCCTTAAATCAAAGTCGGATCAAAGCCCTCTGTTGAGAGAAGTTTCATCGGACATGTCTGCCTGGTTCCACTCTGAGTAACATGCTGTTTATCCCCCCCGCTTTGTGCCTTGTGTCTGCTGTTCTCTACATGCACACACACATACGCACACAGCAACATTATACACAGGATCAAACTCCTCTCTGGCTGTAGACCAGCCATCCACTCTGTCAGCTGTGGTTGAGTCTTTGTTTGTTGCACTGTTCCACTGCGCTTTGATGCATTTAATATGCTGGCTGAAGCAAGAGAACGTACAGTAGTGAACTAGAAGAGAGAGCACAATCTGTCTGCAACATGTTGTCAGCAGCTAGAGCACAGCGAGTGGCCCCCAGGGGCCTGACACAGGGATGAATGGAATAGATGGACAGATGAGGGGGTGAAAGAAGGTTAGAGTAGAGAGAAGAGTCTCTGTTCTTGTCTCTCACTTTTCCAAACTTTAACTCGAAAGAAAGCAAAACCTCATGAAAGTGTCGGTTTTTCCCTTTCATCCTTCCTTTTATTTTGCTCAAGAACAATGCGCCGTCCACCTTCCATTGGGCACGTCACATAAAGGGAGAAATGAGCCACAGACAGATTTGGCTGCCCCTTGAAATGTGTTTTCTGGAAGGAGACTCTCAGTGTCTGTGCCTCCAGGGGTCAAACAAAGCAGCAGTTCTCTGCCTCACTTTTTCCAAAGGACTCCCAAACAGCAGCCACGACTTAAGTCAAACACCACTCAGAAGTTAAGATTCAGTGTTCACCAGCTTTTACAGGTGCTACGCATGGTTCAATCAGTGGTTGTTTAATCAAAAGCCCAAATGTTTATGAAGTATTCTTATGCATATAAACATTCCAAAAGCGTGCAAACATCAGCAGTGCTCTTTTAGCAGAAATTGTTTTGGGGTGTTCAAATTCCATAGACGAAATAGCATCACAGCATCAAATATGTAGGCCAAAGTTAAAGTTAGGTTGTTGTTTTTTTACACTGAGTCTTTTTGATAGAAAAGTGTTGAAGTAGATTGGTATGATACTATAAGATTGTCTGTCTCATCATCATCATCTCTATCTGTCGACTCGTTTTTTGGACGTCTGCCTTTAAAGCATGGCATCTAGATTTGAGATAGTTGACCCGAATAAAGTAAAAACTTTATTCTGTCAATTCCTCTTCTCTGGCAGCCTCCCAGAGACTGCCTGGCCCCCATGAGGTGGTGTTCTGCAGCGAGACGGAGGAGAGTCCGGGGGTGATGCTGTGGAGGTACCCTGAGCCCCGCGTCCTTACCTTCGTCAGGATCAACCCTGTCCCTTTTAACACCACTGAGGACCCGGAGATCAGCACTGCAGACCTGGGGGACGCCCTCCAGGTAATAAATACATGTTTGTCCAGTTCCTCTTCTCTTTATATTCCCAAATGATTCCTTCCCAAACAGACAGCATATTGTGAATAAATACATATTTTGCTAAAAGAAGTATGAACTGAGACGAGAATCTGATCCCTGCTTAACATCACCTGCAATGAAAGAGAAATAAACTGTCTAAGAGTTGGACTGAGGGCTATTATAATTCCCATGACATGAGTCATGAGAACGTCCATACCCTATGTGTTATTGAATGATGGAGACCCCTGCTGTCCCTCCGACATGTAATACATGTTCAGACAGCTGTGGAAGTCATCTGGCCTGCTCTGGTGTGAACAGCCAGGTGTTCCTCACCCCAGATGAGGTTATAATTTGGCAGACTTCAGCAGCTACTGAGTCTGCAGGGCCTCAGTGGGGGTCAGCACATCCCATTTTCCTCCTATCACTCATCCTGCGCCTTTCTATCCACCGCCTCACTTTCCAGCTTATCATCCTTCAATGCAAGCTGGGTCCCAAATCACGTTCTTTCCCATCCTCCTCCATATGTTTCTTTTTTCCTGGAGCAGAAATTAGGGACATTTCCCTGACATTGTTATAACTTCAGACACGCCTTGGGCTGTTTATTTATTTCAAGTTTTACAGCTATAATTCCCTTTGTTTAGTCAGATATTACTGTATTTCAGTTTTTATTGTGGTTTTGATTTCATTGTAACATTCATCTATGTAGCAAAAGGTATTCTAAAGTCTCTTAGATTGCAGAAGCTGTGCAGCAGCCCTTCATACTGAAACTCAAATGTAAACCACGGATGGATCAAAATGAGATGTTACGATACAGCTCTACATGACATTTCATAATAACCAGTGAAATGACTTCAAACATGGTATAGTTGTTACATTCACCATAATGAAGCTTTTTCTCTTGACTCTTACGATGTAGTATTTATAACAATTCAAGTATTCTGTTGATGGTATAACATTAACCTGAAATGAATGACAGTAGCCAGACTGATTACATTTCCAGTCCATTTCTAAGGACTTTCTAATGACCTTTTCTAAGCATTAGGGTTGGGTTTCATTCCCTAATTTTTCTTTCTGCATCTTTCCTCCATCTTTAGGGGAAGTTTCTCGTATCGTCATATCCTCCCTTTATCTCTCAGATTCTTTTCTGGACTCCCACAATCACTTCAGCTCGAGTACAGATGTTCTCTTCTGTCAGTTTATGTCGACCCAGGAGAGACAAGATATACGAAGGTGCTGCAGATGTTTGGCTTCTTTACCAGGCCCCACAGCTGTAAAGTCTGTAATGAGAAAACTCCAGAGCTCTCACTGATTGGCCACATATTGAGTTACAGTAGAGAACAGAGGTAGGGTTAGAGGAAAAGGCAGTGATAGACAGAGTAGTAGGGAGGGGATGGTTACTGGGAGTAGATTGACAGGAAGGAGGAGGGGAAAGAAAGAGAGATTGATAGATACGGAGTGAGAGGAGAATCCAAAAAGGCTGAAGATAGCCAAACATGAAGGTTACACTTCCTATAGTCCAGGGGAGATATGATTCTCCAGCAGCTGATAAACTATGATATCTATGTGAATAAGAATGGATGCGTGCGACTGCGGACATTTTTGTGAGAGTGTGTATTACACAGCAGGAGATGAGGAATCACTGGCTGATGAACATGTGGTTTTCCCATCTTTTGCTCCATTCTTCCTCAACCCATCTGGCATGGTCCAGTCTTTTCTGACGAGTCTGTTAAAAGGAATCAGGTGATGGGGAGGTGTTGAGAAGAGGAGGCTCCATGCTCCCTGAAACCACTTGATGTGGGGATAAGATGCAGCGGGGTGAGATACTCTGTCTGTAGAGAAAAGCTATACATGCTAAGTATTTAAAGAGGAGCCATTACTATTAAGAGCAAAGATAACAGTATGAACAGTTGTGTAGACTAAGTCAGCATTTACAGTATTTAGAAAATAAATGCAATGTCCTCTCATAGAAAGCTCTGGGGCCTCATTTATAAAGCCTTGCGTAGGATTGACGTGGGAAGGTTGCTTACGTGGGACAAGTGATCAATAACATTTCCGTATTTATTTAGTTATGTTTTTGTGTGCACTGAGGAGTCTCAAACAGGCGTTTGTTAAATCATTTTAAGATTGGTTTTAATCAATTTGTGAAAATGAATTATTCATATATGATAAATGAGAGGTAACATTTTATTTATGGTATTTTTTCCACATATTTCTCTCCATTCTTCCTTCTGCCAACGGTGTCACAGTTTCTCGTCCCTCCCGTTTTTGCGCTTAGTTCGTACGCATGGGTCAGAGTTTGCGTGGAGGACCGCACATTTTCCCGTCAAGTTAGTTTTTTATAAATCGCAAACAGTGCGTAGAAACTGGCGTACGCCATCTTGTGCGTACGCACCGTTTATAAATGAGGCCCCTGGCCCGCAGCAATAAGGAACTGCTGGTAGCGTCATGAAAAACATCATTTACCAAGTGTAAATGCCAGACTGGCTTAAATCCATTGTTGAAAGCTACCGTGATGCATTTTGTCAACACTGCTAGAAACAGTATCATGTATCATGGCCTTTTTGAAAGGAGTGATTGTAAAGTCATTATAAGACATTGGATCACTTTACAGATATGTTACACACTCCTTCTTACCTCATATTTAGTCCAAACACTCACATATCTTATATATAAATAATACGCATATTTTGTGTAAGGCCAGGGGATATTTTAACAGGACCAAAGTGGTAGTGATCCCAGATTGAACTGATGTCAGCCTCCTGCATACAATAATTATTCTTTCCCTTCTACCAAACTTCAAATGATATATTTCCTGTGTTTCCCCGTGACCACAAAGTCCAGCAACAGAAAACGGAAAGGCAGCATAAAAATCCCCCAAAACTGTTCTGGCTCAGTTACAGACAGTCGGACAGACGGACAGTCGGAGATGGAGGTTGAACGTTTTGAGAAATGAAAAGTGAGAGTTATAGGGCCAGAAAAAGAAATGAGGAGTATAGAGCAAGTGAGCATTGAGCTTTTGTTTTCTGATGAGCTTGTTTACCAGCAGGGGGCTGTGGAAAGGTTTGTTGGAGGTGAAAAAAGTATAAGTAGCTCTCTCCACATTTTCTCCATCTCCTCATTCTATTCCTCCTCCGCTTCTCTCTCTTCTCATTACTTTTGTCACACTTCCCCCTCCTCCCTTCATTTGCTCTGTGTCTCCACCCTGCTGAATAGATGGAGCTGGGGTTGTGGGGGGAGTTCTTTCTCCTTGTCCCCAGAGCAGATCATATTAACATTTTATAAAATCAATATTTCCTGCATTTAAATAGATGTGGTTTCCCAACTGGTTCCAGTATCTCAGAGGGGGAATTCAAGCCTGCTAGCATTACTCATAGTCAAATTGCTGCCCGAGCTGTTTTCACATACAGTAGAAAGGGGAACTATGTCAGAGTGATTGGAGGGGCAGCTTACAAAGGACAGATCCATGATGGAGCATCCATAGGTTCCCGCCTGTAAAGGGCCCTAGCGATGAAGGAAAAGAGGGAGAGAGGAAGGTGACTCATTCTCACCTTCTCACTGCCGTGTGGTCCAGTTCTCTGAATCATAAGCAGGTGTCCTTACTGATCTTTTTCCATCCCTCTCATTCGTCTGCTCCTCCGTTGCCTCTCTGTGGGGTTGTGAAGCCTGAGAAACAGGGAGTAAACACAGGAGCCGTGATTCAGCCTGACCCCCGCTCCGGGAGCACGAGAGGAGATACAGTCTGTTAAAGAGGAGAGCAAAACTTGAGCTGAGACGGACAAAAGTCCTCCGTTCCGTTTGTCCTCACACACATTCTCGTTTCAGTAATATTAGCATTTCTTTCACTATGCAAATGTAGGAAATTGATCATGCTCTCGCTGTTTGGGCAGCTGCAAAAAAAGGCTCAGACAAACATCATCAACATCGGGCCATCTGCTCCCCTGCTGTTGCTTTCGTGCATGGCACTGTGGGATAGCCTTTCATGTCCCAGCAGGGCTCTGCCATCAGGGCCTGCTGGCCTGCGACCCATATCATAAAAGCTCCATGGCCTGAGATGAACCAGCAACCTCCAGTCCAAACCGCCGCTGCAGCTGTTGTTTTTTGTCATTGTTTTTATGAGAAACACAGGTCCATCAGCTTCGCTTCCTCTGCCTTTTTTAATCATGCATGTTTTTTTTCCAGTTAGTAAAAGAAAATGCAATTTTTTTCGGGAGTACAAAACTGGAGAGAGTCCGTGGGTAGTTCTCTTCACAACGGCCCATTGAACCAGAAAGAGAAAGATTGTAACTTAGCCAAGATAACTGTTATTGTAGCAGGACAGTACTAAAGCAGACCTGCGTTGGTCACAGCTAACGTACTATACAAATAAGAGGCTGTCCACGTTGTTAATTTGATCTGCAATTTCTACACCTCATCCACCAAAACTTCAGTCCCTCGTTTTAAAAAGTTTGGCCGAAAGGAAGAAAAAAAAAGCCAAGCGTGAAGATCTCAGCATGGGCTTATTCCTGATTTTCCACACTGATTAATGTTAACCTATATTAGCCCACCTGAGACAGCATAGCAGGAGTCATTTTCAGAACAATTTTCATTACATCTCCTGAGTAAACATTTGCTCAAGCCGATGTCAATTCAATTTGTCTGCTGACTGATAAGAGGTAGCTAGCAGTGGAATTTGTAGACATATAGGCATCAGTGAAATAACAGAAAACCTAATAGAAGTGGGGATATTGTTAATAAAAGTGATAGCAGCAGCCGGGGCCTCAGAGGGGGGCCGGGGAGTCTTCAGTTGCAGAAACAAACTCTAGCAGTCATCACACCAGGAAATTAAATGATTTCTGTATGTTGTTGTTGTGACTCCAACTTTAGTTAAACTTTTAAAGAAACTGTGATTGGTCAGTCTCACAAAAGCAACTCCTTGCAGAATAATATTTATTGTTTTGGCAGAAGAATGTTTGGGTGACAGAAATGGAAATCGGATCTGTACTGTA